CACTTCTATCAATCGAAAGGAGACTGCGACCACACCAGAGGCCACAACATCTTGGTCTTCATATATTTGAAACAGTCAGTTATTCGTAAATAAGTTTCTAGACTGCTAGTTGATCTTGAATAAGAAAATGTGTTCAACCCATTTCGTTTAAGGTGATAAAGAGACTGGAATTTGAATTTTCCCTCAATCATTTGAGTAGGCATCCCGTTTTTATTAAATTTCACACAATTTTGCTTCCCTAAGAGGTATTCTCATCGCGACTGGGACGGACTGTAGTTTAGATCTCGCCTAAATCTTATCGGCATTCCCTGCAGGAAACAAACCTGGTTTGTGGTAGTGCAGCGTATTGTTCCGACAACTATACCGGTCCTTCGTCATCTTAAACGAATTATACTAAACATAATTTCTATTCAAGATGTACTGTTATTCTCGAAAGCCTAATTAAGTAACGAAAATAAGTGATGCAATCGATTGTAACGGCAAATACAACTTTACTTCTAAGAGAGGTATTCGTCCCATTTAGTTTAAGGTGACAAAGGACTGGTGGTAAAATTTTCCCACAATGATATGAATTTCACATGGCCTTGCTTTCCCAAAAGGTGTTCTCATTCAGGCACCAGTGGACTGCAGTTTCGACCTCGCCTAGGTCCTATCCACGCAGCGCAGCGAGACTCGAACCACGACAGTTCAGCGTGTAATCTTGACATGTTTACCCTTACGCAACATTGTCGCGAATATCCTTGAGTCACGGGTCAGATGTGAATTTTAATGAAACTAAGGCATTGTCGATGAATCAAGCTTATATTTGCTATAGCAATCGTCAACGTTACTTATATTTCGTTTTGAGCAGGTTTCCGAGACTACCAGTAAATTACTTATATGAGATTTGCTATAGCAAATACAAGTTGCCTCATCGACAGTCCCACCACAGAATGTGATATGCTAAAATACCTGGCCTTCATTGTAAGTCACTTCTGTCCTGTGAGCCAAGGGCACTCGTGGCAATGTGGTGTGTCGAGGTTACACGCTGCACTGTCATGGTTCGACTCCCGCTGGGGGTGTTGATAAGATCTAGACGAGAACGAAACTGCAGTCCACCCTGGCTGAGAACATCCTCTGGAAACGTCAGCTCTACTCGTCAGATTACGGAAAAATCCAAATTCCAGTCCTTCATCACCTAAAACGAAAAAGGCTGAATACCACTCTTATAACTGATTTACTGGTAGTCTCAAAACTGCTTATAAACGAATATCAACTTTACTTCGTCAACAATCTCACCAGAGAATGTGATATGGGAACTCGTGACAGTCTGGCTTGGTCGCTAAAGTGTTGAGACTGTACGCTGGACTACAGGAACACGGGCTCGAGTCCCACTGGGATGGCGAATAAGAACCGGAAGTCCAGCCGCGATGAGAATACCATTTGAGCGGCAAGGATACATGAAATTTAAGGGAGCCGTGATGCCTATTTATCTCATTAACAGAAATTGAGCAATTACAACTTTTATATACAAGATCTACTGGTATTCTTGAAGGCTTATCTGTAAAAACGGATGATAGGGGAGTATTATCTACGTTCATATGAGTAGGCCTCACGATGATAAGACTTGGAAGGCTTCGAAGCTGAGGTCCAGCCTAGATAAGAACATTTTATGAATAGCAAGGCTTGGCGAAATTCACTGTCATTTTGGGAAAAACGACACTATCGGTCTTTAAGTCGCCTTGACTGATCTAAACTGACCAGTTCGCATAAGCTGATGAGGGACAGATAGTTTAATTTTCCCATAATCAAGTGAATATGCCTCTGGAGGCCGTCGAATTTCACCTAACTTGCCTCCATAAAGGTATCTCCCAAGAGGCTACCTTCTGAGAGTCTAGGCTGTGTAAAATGCAATGGAATCCTGAGACTTATTCATCTGATTGTGGGAAAATTCAACTATCAGTCGTTCGGGTGAATACAGCTCTATTGTACAAGATTTACTGCTAGTTTCGAAGATTACTTATTACAAGTATGGCGAAATTTTAGTTCAAGAGTAAATGCTCGTCTCGAAACACTCGCATACCAAATGCAATGTAAGAAGAATTAGGTAATCGAGATTAATCGCGCGAAAAGTGTTAATTTGCACAGCATTAGTCACCACAACGTTGAAAATCCACGGGTCTAGCTTAACCCTTTGAATCGCGAGATCTGATTTGTCAGAAAGAGAGGTTTCCTTTTCCTCCTCTACGGCTGGACGAAAACCGGATGTGAAAGGGTTTACCGTTTTTTATTGTTTAACCTGACTATTCTGGGCATTTTAGGCTACGGCCAAATCGCGCCTGCCACGATGTGGGGCCGGATCAACTGCATCCTCTACGCCATTATCGGGATCCCTCTGATGCTCATCTTCCTGGCTCGGGTGGGTGACATCATGGCTCGATTCTTCCGATTCGCCTACATCAACCTCTGCTGTTGCCGATGTTTCTTCGACGTGTTTCGGCGTCAGCGAATCGCACGGAAAGCGGCACTTATGGATCTGGCCGAGGACCAGCGCCTACACAAAGAAGAGAAAT